TGATGAAGTGTTCATGATGCAGCACACCAAGGTCATCGCGGTGGCAGCAAAAAATCCCAAACCGTTTTCTGTTGAAGCTTTCTGCCACCTGGAACAAACGCACAATTTCAACATGGCAGATCACAAAGTGCATCTGTTTGTGGGAAAGGTTTCCGCAGACGATCAAGGTGCCAACATGACTGTGGTCGCTGAGAAGATCTTCAAGTTGACCAGAGACGAGCAGATCGATGCAGTGGAAGCAGAGCGACATGGCATCTGTGGATTGCAAATGAGCACCACCAAAAAACGCCCTGCTTCTGATCTCATTGTAGGAACACCAGCCAAAGTGAAAGCAGACAAGTGGAGCGATGCCTGAGATCTTGATTGCAAGACTATGGCTGTTGATGAGCATGTAGGAAACTAGCAGAACTGACTGGTTTTTAAAGCATCACATGTGAAGCAACCAGAGCTGTCTGAGTTTCACAAGCGAGCACACCAGAACTGTCCGAGGTTTCCGCAAAATATTTGGTTTTTCAAGTTTGGCATGTAAAGCAACCAGAAATGCCTGAGTTTCCATGCGTGACAGCAAATCTTTGCTTCGTACCTGAGTTGCCCAAAAGATCCTTTGCTGCGTAGAAGTTGCCATGTTCAGCCATTCATGAGAATTTTGTTGTCGCGACGTGAGATGCTGGAGTGGTCGCAAGCCAGGCAAAAAGGCATCCAGGATGCGTACAATGACACTGCTTCCTGGACGGCCTTGGATGAAATCACCCGACAACACAAGTACAGCTTCAAATCCATAGCTGCATGGCCTGTGGATGGTTGCCTTGTTTGCAAGCCTACAGAAAGGGCAGCTTTGCTGCTTGGCAGCTTGTAGGCCGCTTGCAACTTGGGAGTCATCAAAGAAGATCTCGGCATGTCTGTGACAGTGGTTGTTTCCATGTGCGAGACTGAAATGAATGTACATGGGGCTCCATCGAAACTGTGTTCCAGCTTGCTGCAACTTAGTTTTTATTGTCTTTCTTGTTCAAAGGGCCGAGCCACAGAGCTTTTTCGGCCACACTCCGAGGCATTTTGGAAGACCCAGTTGGCCGTCATTCGGGAGTTCAAGCAATTTTGCATGCTAGCAACGCCTCCTTGCTCAGCATTCAGCCGCGCCAGGCATCTATACAAGAAGCAGCCAGACCCAGGCCAATTCGGTCAAGGGAACATGCTAACGGCTTCCCTTGGCTGCCTAACCACAAGATGCAGCAGGCGAGGCAAGGGACGGCTTTTCGGATGACACATTTTTGTGGAAATAACAATGAACATGTCCTTGTAGGGTGGCTGGGTGGGATAATTCTGTCATATCTGCAATTTTGGCTGAAGATATAGGCACCCCCCAAATATTTGTTACCCCGACCTTCGATCATTGCTGGGTAAGCTTGGGGGGTGCATATCATTAGTGGCCTGGGTACCATCCATCAGACGTGCGTGGGTGGCTGCTTCACCTTCTTGTCCTGTGCTTGTCACGGTCGGTGGGCAAACGAGGCAAGCTACAGGTCAAGCGGGAAACTGCCATCTGGCCTGGTCATCAGCTATGGTGGACCCAGTGCAGAGCGAGATTGAAGGCCCCATGCCCCTGTCAGGACTTCTTCCCAAACCAATGACGTCACCGCTGGCAGCAACCCAGGCAAGCGCACCACGACCATCAGAGACAGAAAGCCTTGTGCATTCCCAAGACGCACACTCTCACACATACCAACACAACGGGAAAGCAAACGATAATATATATATATACACATACCAGCGAATGAAAAAAAGAAAATATAAATATTCACACACGTATAGACCGTCTAGACATACATTTGTAAGAGAGCGGTTTTTCACCACGCGGCCTTGCCCAGGTAGCTGTCGAGCTGAAGCCGGTGAGCGTGATTGCCATGGAGCGGGATGCGGATTGCCTCTTCCACGCGCTGGCCTTCTTTGAAGGCTGCGACGGCAAGGCGCTTTGGCTCGAGCTGGCAAATTTCATGGGCGCAGGGGCCGCCAACCATCCAGGTTTGGAGGACCAATGGCTACTGGCAGCACGCGAGCTGCGGGCAAACAAATGGGAGGATACATGGCAATCGTTGCTTACAGCCTTGTGAGGACAAGGAGGATCATGTTCCACACGGTGCGAAATGTCGCGGAGCCTGTCGCCGTGGAAGAGGTTGGCCACGCCTCCATCCACGGCGGAGAAATGGTGCGCGTCGTCCACCTCCTCTATCATCACGACATCGGTCACTACGATGCCCTAGTAGAATTGCATCCTGCAACAAGCATGGGGCCAACGGGGCGGTCCAATTTGATGCCATCATCGCCGGGCAACCTGCAGCACTTGGAGCCTTCCAGCCTCTTTGCGCCGATGGCTGCGTACTCTCCTGCGTACATTGCCTCCTGGGCTACTCAGTGGGACGGGCGCTTCATCTCGGAGGAAGAGAGCAAGGAGTTGTTGCGTCTGGCCGGGTGGCTACTCCAACTGCTATGTATGCCGCCGCCTACAGCACACCAATTCCGCGCTGCATTGCGGAGTTGGCAGGCAAGGCTTCGGCGTCGCTTTGGTGACCGCCTCTTGCCGTGGCCTTGGAGCTTCGTGGCTCATGGCTTGATCATCTAACTGCTGCGCTGCAGACGGAAGCAAAACAGGAAAACAGACCGCGCCGCAGTCCGTTCGGAAGGAGTATAAGTAGCTCATGCTGGTCAGGGCAAGGTGTGCCTATAAGCCTGTTGTTTGTCATGTTCGCTTTCTATGCCATTTGCGTCTCCCAATTTTCTTCATGCTTTTCGCCACATGTACAGCACATTGCTCAGCTTCCCTGTACACCTGCATGCGCATTTACCCGCTGATCAACCATGCATCTACATTTGCACGGCATTTCGGCCTGATTGACAGATACGGGACTATTTCCAACGTGTTTCAACATTGCATCGAACACAGTTCGGCGCCTTCATGGAGCGCCGCGTAGCCAAGCAGCTGACCGACGTCCACCGCACGGTGCTGGCACAGTTGCTCCTTGATATGTTGCTTATTTGTCCTTCTGCGAAGAAATTGGAGTACGAGGCCTTGTGAGGCAAACGTTGAGGCTGACAAGTTAACAAATGGCGACTTCGAAGCCTTCGAGCCAAGCAGAAGGATCAACGTTGTTTCGGAGGATTTTCAGTTTCCGATGATCGATCTTCTCATGTGATTTGCTGAAAGTTTCTTGAAGAGAGACCTCCTGGAATGATTACTTCCGTGAGCACGATGTAGTTCATATTCATTGTCAGCATGACGACATCACAGTGAAGCAGCCGGGCCGCGACTTAGAAGGGCACAAAGCATTGCAAAAGAATTGCCTCTCCAATTGGAAAAGCATATGCTTCCAACTGTGGCAACCGTCAATCATTGCCGTCAACGCAGACAAGCCCATGAACTATGAACATTTTGTTTCATTGCTTTGGTGGCATCAACCGCAGCGCTGCGGTATGTGTGCTTGGCTCATCGCAGCCTATGGCTACAGCGCCAAAGATGCGATCAAACTGTTGCTTACAAAGAGACCGTCTCTTCGCCCGTGGCGCCATCGAGACTATGTTTTGGAGGCATTGTGGATGGTGGAACAACAGCGCTGTGAGTGGCACCGGGATTTCCAACTTGACGCGGCCTAGCTCTCATTTGCTTGTGCGCTGGGAGCCTTGAAACCGCAGAATGTTTCGATGTCAAAATGATGTCGAAAAGTCTGGTTCCGACAAGTCAACCAGACCTGTCTGAGACTTTGTCGTCTACAGTCAACTTCGTCGACAGTGAATAAAGCTGCTGATTGCTCTTGCGCAGGTAGTTGCATGGATCGACCTGATTTCTATCCGCAACATGTTGGATGGCATTGCTTATCGTCACACTTGCCTATGTGAAATCATGAGGCTGCAGGTTCTTACTCACATGTAGACTGCACTGCTGAAAAGCATACGTCGCACAGTTTCTAACAATCAAATGCAGGTCCCCTAATGCAGGCCACGAACTTCACCCCCCTTTGGATTGCTGAGGTGCCCACGACAACGATGACTTCGCTGTGAGAGTGTGTGTGTGTGTCCTGGTGTCTGTCTGCGTCCCTGTTTTTGCGTCCCGTGTCTATCTCTTTCTGTGCGTGTGTGTCTGCGTGTGTCTGCGTGTGTCTGCGTGTGTCTGCGTGTGTCTGCGTGTGTCTGCGTGTGTCTGCGTGTGTCTGCGTGTGTCTGCGTGTGTCTGCGTGTGCCTGCGTGTGCCTGCGTGTGTCTGCGTGTGTCTGCGTGTGTCTGCGTGTGTCTGCGTGTGTCTGCGTGTGTCTGCGTGTGTCTGCGTGTGTCTGCGTGTGTCTGCGTGTGTCTGCGTGTGTGTGCGTGCGTGCGCGTGCGTGCGTGCGTGCGTGCGTGCGTGCGTGCGTGCGTGCGTGTGTGTGTGTGTGTGTCTTCCTCTTTGTGTGCGTGTGTGTCTGTGCCTGTGTGTGCGTGTGCCTGTATGTGTCTCCCTCTTTGTGTTCTGTTTGTGTGCGTGGGTGTGGTGTCCGTCTGTGTACCGTGTGTGTGTGTGTGTGCGTCTGTGTCTGTATCTTTGTTTGTGTGTCTGTGTGTGTGTGTATGTGTTTCTTTGCTGTCTGTCTCTGTCGGTCTCTCAAATTTTGTGTCTATCTTTGTCTACGGAAATCTGACATAGCATTTCTATCTCCTTTCTGCTGATCATCTGCATCATCTTCAATGAAGCTTTCACCAACAATGTCTTTGATACTACTTACAAGAGAGTAACATGCTTTTTTACGTTTTCGGGCCATCCGTCGTCTAGTTGTTTTGGAACGTCAGCCATTCGACCATTCCTCCGACATCCCAAAATGCATAAGACACTGGCCCTGCGCAGTCAAAACGCTCTTCCCCGGGCAGCACCCCCGTCCTGTCCTGTACGTACATTTATATACTGTATAGATAGACACAAATAAAGCCTGACCTCCCAAGCCTATCCGCCACTAAGGTCCCCAAGAAGCAGGCCCGGTTGCCTCACGGCGAAGATCCACTGGAAACATCAGCAGCAAGTCGCAGACCTGCCATAGGGGAGGGGCACTGGGACAGGGCTGAATCTAAATGAGATGTACTTTTGTACTACGAAAAAAAGAAATGGATATGATACATAAACGGATATTATATCACATATCGTACTTCATCATATCATATAATATCATATTGTATTTCACTATATCATAGTATACCAGTAGTACCGCACAAGGCGGTGGCGGAAGTTTCAAAAATCCGCCCGCACCGAAGGTGCTGGGGCGTGATCTTCCGGATGGCACTCGTAAAAGGTTACAGGTTTACCTGGGGGGGGGGGGCATTTTTCGGCCAAAACCTCCTGTTTTTGATAGGTCGTGACGCTCGCCTTCAAAAAACACTGTAAAAAACAGTACGGAAGACACCTGTTCGTGAACGCGCCCGTCCAAAATCGGCAAGCGAAAAGTGAAAAAAAACCGTGTTTTTCAACTTTTTGACCTCAATTTTTTGGTTTGCAACATCTTTTTTTGCGGTTCCGCAGGTGGCCTGGCCCGGAGGCGGATTTTTGAGTTTTTGGACCCGTTTTCGGACTGATTTTCGTCGTTTTGTGATAGCAGAAACACTGGTTTTTACAGTGTTTTTCTGTTTTCTGCATGCTTGACGGCTAGCTTCAAAACTTCTAAAAACATCGTAAATTACGCTGTTTTATGTTACGGTGTGAATGAAAACATCGTAAATACCAGCGTTTTTTGACGCTGGTTAAAAAAACACTGTAAATTACAGTGTTTTTGGCCACCTGACCCTCAAAAACCATGGTATTTGCAGTGGTTTCTGCTTCTCACCGGGCAAAAACACTGTAAATAACAGCAATTTCGCCGTTTTTTCATGTTTTTCGTTATTTTTTGAACTGCGTTGGTCCGCTATACATGGCCATCAAATTCTTCGCGTTTTTTTTCCGACAATCAGTACTTTCGGATGTTTTTGGTCTCAATGCCCCTGCTGTGTGAGCCCAACGATGCGGTGCGGGCGGTTGCCGTCGCGAAGCGACGTGAATAGGAAACCTATAGGAGAGATTGATTGTTGTGAATCACGGATGGCAGAGCGAATCCACTGATTGACCGAAAGGTGGTTGGAGTTGTGTTTGCTGGAATGGTTGCAATGGTTGCAGTGGTCACCTCACCCACAACTGCTGGATGTAGTGTGATGTACTGCAACTGTAGTTGTAGTTGTAGCGTAGTGGAGTTGTAGTTGTGGTGTAATGTAATTAGTGTAGTGTAGTTGCAGTCATATAGTTGTAGCTGTAGTTGTTTTGTAGTTGTAGTTGTAGTTGTTGTAGTTGTAGTTGTTGTGTGGTTGTAGTTGTTGTGTAGTGTAGTAGTAGTAGTAGTTGTTGTAGTTGTAGTAGTTGTTGTTGTTGCTGTAGTAGTAGTAGTAGTTGTTGTTGTTGTTGTTGTAGCTGTAGTTGTTGTAGTTGTAGTTCTAGTTGTAGTTGTTGTGTAGTTGTAGTTGTAGTTGTAGTTGTAGTTGTAGTTGTAGTGTTGTGTTGGTTGCTGTTGTTGTGTTGTTTGTTGTTGTGTTGTGTGTGCTGTTGTTGTTGTTGTTGTTCTAGTTGTAGTTGTTGTGTAGTTGTTGTAGTTGTAGTTGTAGTTGTAGTTGTGTAGTTGTAGTTGTTTGTTGTGTTGGTGTTGTTGTTGTTGTTGTTGCTGTTGCTGTTGTTGTTGCTGCTTGCTGTGCTGTTGTCGTCGAAGTTAGGATAGTTAAGTTAGTGAAGTTAGTTAAGTTAGTCAAGTTAGTTAAGTTAATCAGTGTCTACTTTTTCGACATCTTCACGTCAAAAAAGGCTCAAAACCCTCAGTTTTTTACACTTTTGACTTCGAAATGTGCTTCGCGCCACAACGGCGTGCACTTTTTCGACACTTTTTCGACATCTGAACCTCCAAAAGTGGTCCGAGACCGTCAGTTTTTTAACACTTTTGACTTGGAAATCTGCTTCGCGCCACAACGGCGTGCACTTTTTCGACATCTCAACTTCCAAAAGTGGTCCGAAGCTGAGGTGTTTTGTACATTTTGACTTGGAAATGTGCTTCGCGCCACAACGGCGTGCACTTTTTCGACATCTCAACTTCCAAAAGTGGTCCGAAGCTGAGGTGTTTTGGACATTTTGACTTGGAAATGTGCTTCGCGCCACAACGGCGTGCACTTTTTCGACATCTCAACTTCCAAAAGTGGTCCGAACCTGGTGTGTTTTGTACATTTTGACTTGGAAATGTGCTTCGCGCCACAACGGCGTGCAATTTTTCATCTCCCATCTGGCCAGCTGGCTCCGCACCCGCCGCTTTAGCGAGCCTACTTTTCGACCCACCGGAGCCACAAATCATTGGAAAAACACAGCGAATCGCGACTTTCCTACATTTTCGCGCATCTGCATTTTTTTTTTCTGACTCTTTCTCTTCTGATTTTTTCTCACCTCTGCTTTTCAACTGTCCATACTGTCGGAAGTTTCACTTCTAAACTTCCTTCGATTAATAGTGTATCATAGTGTATCATAGTGTATCATAGTGTATCATAGTGTATCATAGTGTATCATAGTGTATCATATTAAAGTAAATCATATTATATCATAATATGATATACTATATCATCCCATACTGTATTATATCATACTGTATCTTTTTATGTAATAGTATGTCATTGTACATTATATTGTATTATATTACGTATGTTAAGTATATTCTATTGTACTACAATATGTTTTACGATATTATGCTATAGTGTATCGTATTGTGTTGTATGTACATGTATTCTGTAATGTCATTTCATGTCCAAATCAAAAATCACATATCATATAGCCTAATATCATAATATCATTTCATCATTTCATCATTGTATCACAATATCATATCAGACAATACCAGACCATATCAGACAATATCGGATAATACCAGACAATATCAGACAATATCAGACAGTATCATAATATTGTAATATAGCACAGTACAATACAGTACAGTACCGTACAGTACAGTATAGTCAATAATAAACAAGCAAGCAATATCTAAGTTCAAACGCACACACAGCTGTGCATGCATATGCCCTGGTGAAAATATGGGGATCAGCCAACAGCCCCTGATGTTGTACCAAACTCATGTGCGATCAGCATCTGAGCAACAGAAACGGAGATTTTACAATGACCAAATTGAACGAAATGGGCCAGTTGTTCAACTTTTGGAAAATTGTTTTAACGGGAATCTCTTTTCGTAGCTGACAAACAACATCATAGTGAATCGAACAAATCCTAGTGCCTGGAAACAAATTCAGTTTTGATGGCTTGCGTTGCAGGTGTTGCAAACGTGCAACCTGCTTTGATCCAAACTGCAACCTCTTCTGATGCAAAATTGCGTCTCTGTAACCCAACAAGTTGACGAGACACATCATCAAAACATGTTTCGGACAAGTTTATGGTCAAGCGGCTCTATATCATTTTTAAAAGAACGAAAAACATGATGATCTATTTATGTTTCTTTTTTGGGGCCGAGGGGTCACAAGAGCAGAGGAGACATGGTAGATTAAGTGGCAGATAGGCCAAAATCACCTCTTGAGACCTGGGGGGCGAAGGACGACAAGATTGCCACCAAGTAAGACAGGAGGGACATAACGATAAAGAAAACGAGAAATCAAACTCCCTGCGCTTCCAGCCAATTCAGCGCTGGCCCAACACCTGTGTGTCAGAGTCTCTCTCTCTTTCTTCTTTGGGACTTTGAAGTATCTACAGAAACCAATTTGCTTTAGCAAAGGGCAAGGAAGGGAAGAACAGTATCTTGGGAAATGAAAGACAGGCATTCACACTGTCCAACGCAAGACATGAAACAAAGGGAGACGAGCAAGGGAGACAAAGAAGGTGACAAGTAGGTAGAGGCGTACAGAGACAAGACAGAAAGGAAAAGAAAGGAGACTGACAGCCAAGCAAAAAGAGCACTCCTGACCATGCAAACAATTGCTTCCACGGGAGACTCGGGAGACTGGTTCTCATTTCATTCAATGTCAACACTGTGGCTTACAGACAACCAGATGGAGGGGACAAAAGCGACGGATGCAGCAGCCAGACGTCATTCCCCTTTTTCGCAGATGGCTAAGGGTTTCAGAGTTTGTGTGACATTACAGCGTTGGAACTTTAGACATCGGGGGAGGCCAGAATGACAATTGAAGTCAGGGGCCTTGAACCGACAGGGAGACAAGTTGTTTGACAACAAAGCCTCAGAAAGCGAAGATTCCCAACGCTGCATGTTTTTCAGTCCAACGCTGTGATGAAGGATGAAATGGATTTTAAATTAGGTGCCAGGACACCCCATGGGGGAGAGAGCACGAGAGGCTTCCAGGCCCCAGGTTGGATGGCTGCAGCCACATGCGGGTCAGCCAATCCTTGGCGACTCAGCGGGTCGCTGAGATTTTGATGGGAAGGTACCCATTCAAACCAAGGGTTGCATCGCAGTTTGGCGAATTGCAGCCCTGCTAGCCGTGACAAGTGATTGACATCGGACGCAGACGAGGCGGATCGAATGATGGAGCGCCAAGCTGCTTGGTTGTCCAGAAACGATAGCATAGCTCGATCCTGCAAGATGGCTGGTGCAGAGAAGGCAAGGAGAGGTACAGCGGATGAAACCAGGATTTGGTCATCCCGAGCAATCTAAATGCCGAGGCGAAAGCCCAATGCAGTGGGCGCTTCGGTAGATGCATCAGTGTAGATGATGACTGGAGGACGTGGATTCTGATAGATTTCCACAATGCGTGAAGGCAGGATTGACAAGGCAAGTTGCAAATACTGAAGGCAGAGAGCAAGCTCTGGTGTCAAAGATTCAGTGGTATCAAAGTATTGGCGTGCAATGAAGCCAGAGAATGCGGCAGTCAAAGGCCTACCGAGCATAGACATTTCTAACCAATTTAAGAGGCCACGGGCTTTGGCTGCTTGACCGGACGTGACTTTACACGTAGACAGCAATTCAGACAGCATTTGCATGGCACGGGTTTTGGTGGTGGGGCAACACTGGAGACTGACAGTATAGTTGGTAGATGCCAAACTGAAGTCAGTGATTAACCCAAGAAACCTAGGTGTAGTGCTCATATGTTGTCGCTTGTGGTGACCGATAATGACTCCAAACATTTCCAAAAGTCTAACCCGAAAGGCAAGCCAAAAAGTTGGGCATATACACGTTGGCCGGTATGCGGGTGAACAAAAGTGATAATGTTGACACACATGTGATGTTTGATAGGATGGTTCTGACGAGATCCTTTCCGAAGATCTTTTGTACCAGCAACTATATGCAACCATGGCACATAGGTTAAAAGGTCTACTGCCGACGCATCAGGATGTACGGTGCGTATGAAATTTAAAGCCGTACGGTGCCAAAACTTTATTACTGCCAAAGGAAAAGCAGGCCTTTGGTTGACAATAGCTTCGTGAAGCTGGGTGCACTCATTGTGTCTTCCAGCTTTGCCGTCATCGATAGGCCGTTCTTTGTCATGCTGGTGAATGGTATGACGCTTCAGTGGCCGCCAGTGGCCCCTACCAAATAATTCATCAAAATATTCACGGGGCTGGAAAGGCCCTAAAAGTCCCATCTGTTGTTCCTTAATACTTTCTTCCAAAATCGAAGTAGCAGAAGGATGGATCCTAAGATCGCCTTCAAGCCGGTCCACATAAGTTGCTGCATCGGACCCCAACAATGGTGTTTCTGGGAATGCCCCAGGAAGTGTTCCCTGAAAAAACCACTTGGGGGGATGGATCCAACTAAAGCAAATCCCAAACACAAGCACGTGGGTAGAGTACGATCAGGCCAATTAAGAATGCTAACACAGGCTGCAACAAGGGCGGGTCGAAAACCAGGAACATGGTGCACATGCCGTTGTCGCCAAAGCTCGAGCTAGAGTACGAAAAGCGACCAAAGCTTCGTTCCTAAGCTGCTGGATGGAAAGTCCATGTCGCACAGCTTGCTGCACTGCGAACTGCAAATCTTTTTCCAAGACCACCTCCCCTGCGTACGGGCTAGGCAAATCCAAGGCTGCGTCCAAATGCTGCCTTGGTGAGAGTGTAGGTTCAATGATGGGCTGAACTATGGATGCTTTAGGTTGTTTCATTGATCGGGCTGGGTCCGTGTGGCGGAGCCTCCCTCTTGAAACCATGGGGGTTATGGATGTTATTTTCGAAAGCCCACGATTCAAATTGGAGGAAAGGCGACAAGGGCACTTTAAGAAATGCTCCTTTAGCTTTAGATGTTAAAGAATCTGGGATGTCCCCAGGTAACAGCGACAGCATGTCTTGGAACCAAGCTTCGTGCGATGTCACTGGCAGTGGCCCAGGCGAAGGTTCCAGGGCAAGTGCAGCAGCACACGCTTTGTTGGGAAGACACAGAACACCATCAGGTGGGGTGTCAGGATCCAACTTTTGACCCACAAGTGGCTTCTGATGGGCGACCTCACTACCGGTGGGCTTGCTGGCAGTGAGGAGTTGTCCCTAGCCTTTTTTGCTTTGGTGCGAGGAAGCGTTGTGACCCTTGTTCCACTTCTTGCACAAGTCTTTGAGGCTAACTGGCTTGCCTGTGGGCAAATCATTGACAAATCAGTTTGGATGCCACCAGAGCCCTCAGCACGGCGCCGTTTGGCTGGCGGCGGTGGTGGAGTGGCTGGCTTTCACTGTGCAACGCATCATCCACTGCTCCCACCGGGCCAGTTCCAACTTGCCACAACACTGCTGCTTTGGATTCATAAGCAACTTTGAGAGCTTCACCCAGTGGCCAGTCATCGGCATACAAGGAAATGGCTGCAAGACGGGTTTGCTTGTGATCAAGAAACCATTGGATTGCCTGGGCGACGCTGCCGGGATAGCGGCGAAGCCGCTCTGGAGCAAAAGTGCGATAGGCCAGGTTGTCGGACATGGAGAATTCGCAAACTTTTGTGCCAGGTAGGATTTTTGAACCTCGTTCAGCAGTTACAGCCATGGCAAGGGTGTTGAGCAAGATCTCGTGAATTCGGAGTAAGCTGATGAGGCCTTTGAAGCTGACAGCCGGGGATTCAGCCTTGAGGACAACTGGGCTGCTTTCAACGAGCTCCGGCACGGGCACCGGTGGAATGCCAGGACCCCATGCAAGAGGAAGTGGCAATTAGGGCGCGCAACCGATCAAAATGGGGAGCCACCGCTCGGAGGCTGGACCAAGATTCGGGGCGCAGAACATGTTTGAGCAGGTGATGGACCGAGGCGAGGTAAAGCCGCCGGGCCTGGGCTGCAGACTCTAATCGCTCAGAGCTGTAGCCAAGGGAGCGGAAGCTTGCGACCATCAGCCCAATTGCCCAAGCAGACGCGATCAGAGTCGCAAAGCTGCAAGGCATCTGCTACTGTTGGCAAAAATCGCCAGAAACTACGAGTTGAAAAATTAGAAGCTGCTTGCTCATCCAGAGAGAGTGGGGGAAGCTGCAGGAGAGAGCGCATGAAGGCCTGAAAGCGCGAATAGAGCGCTGGGGCAGACCGAAACATGACGCTTCCCGCTTCAAACCGCATATCTGGTAGAAACGGAGTACCAGCACCTACTCTGCGGCCGAATTCAGAATGCACGTGGCACAAGTGGACGCCCGGGTTCCACATAGTTGGGCAGCGCTATGGCAAAAGGCATCCCATGTTTGCCCTGCGAGATCCTCGAGACACTGGTTCGGCTGGAAGGCAGGTCCTGGTCAAGAGTGGTTCTGGCACAGTGTTTGAAGCGCAGCACAGAGACCGCAAAGCGAACTATCAAGCCGGCTGCCGATGCTAGAGAGCGATTGGAGCTGGCAGCAAGCTCCAACAAATGTCTCCAAACTTGCGGAGGCGGCACTTCAACCTGAGAAGGCCAAGTATGCGCCAATGTAGTGGTGAAGTTCTGCAACACCGGCGATGCTAAAGGCAAGGACACCTTCAGATGCTCTTGCAACCAGCGCAGGTGCCGGTACACGGTGTTGGGCACAGTGCGGCCACGCTCTTCTTGCTCAAGAAGGAACTTGCGAAGGGCAACATCCGTCACCTGCCCAATAGTGCCATCAGCTTCAAGCTGCCATTGGATGAGGTGGTTCCATGTGCGAAGTACAGCAGCCCGGTTGAAATTTGGAGAGCAAGGAATCAGCAGCTGCATCAATCCTCGGGGCAAGCCGGACTGAGTCAGGTCATCTATGGCCAGGCTCAGGCCTGGATGGAGCACTGTCTCGAGCAATGCTACAGCAACATTCTTGTGCTTGTACTGCTTGGAAGTACAATGTTGGCGGGGAGGCCCTGCTGGTTTTGGGACCTGTGCAGCTGAAGCAGGTGCCGGTCTATTGGCTGGCTGTTGTGGAAGCAGTGGTTTCCAAGTTTGAGGCCGGGGCCTGCAATGGATCCCCCAAATTTTCTCCCGGCTTGGATCGTGTCAGGATTTGTCTGGTCGGCGAGCTCTTCTTGCAATTCAAGGACGGTCAGACCAGCAACATCATGCTGATCAAAACCACTCACAGCCAGTTGATCCAAAATTCGTTGCTCATCCGCGGTGAACATGGCCACTGACGGGCAACGAGATGAGCTGAGAAGTTGGCTAGAGCCAGACTTGAGCCAAAATGGCTATATACGGGAGACGGGTTCTCATTTCATTCAATGTCATACCATAAGCGTGTTAAAGATACCTGCCCTATCAGAGTCCCACCATTAAATTGGTACTTCACATTGTCGTGAGCAGAGTGGCAGCCAGTGGCCGCCCATCTCCATGGAGCAAAAACACATGGCAGGAACTGCCTCAGGGGCAGCCAACCACGCTTGCACATCTTTGGCTGAGCTAATTGCCAGCTCTGTGTGGTGGGAGGCAGCCTTGTGCGCCAACTCGAATATGAAAATGCACTCAGCCACAGTCTTGGATGTGTAAGAACAAACCAATTGGCTCTGGCCTCCAAGGGTCTCCCTGGAAGCTCCTCCAGCGCCACGTAACAACTGCTACAACTTCCCAGGCAATGGAGGTCCCCCTGGCCGTTGGATATCGTGGACCTGTTTTTGGGGAATCAAAATGTCTTCTGGTTTGGTCATGAAATGTATATATATATACATATATTATATATACATATCATATATACATATATAATATGTGCGTGTATATATATATATATATATATACTGTACATATATATATATATATATTTAAACACTCAGTATAATATATATATATTTATAATTTTATATGCTTGTCGAAAATTGAGAGCAACCCATACCGAATCTGAACAACGAAACTGTAAATAATTGTGACCTCGCGTTGGCCCAAAAAATACCTCAAGCTGCAAGCAATTTTGGCCACAGTCAAGCCAGGTATCTCTAGATTTTGTACTCCACGGCGTCAAGTAACATGGTAGTATCAGGACAAGGACTACAAACTGATCACGGCAAGTTTTAATATGCACTGCTTGCATCTGCTTGTCACTTTCTCCAATGAAGCAGGCTGCTTGATTCCAACAGCGATGAACACAATGACTTTTTCTGGGACTTTTTGAGGCCCCAACAATTCCTCTGCTGTTGCTCTGCCAGCAAGGAATACCAGGCTAGACGTCAATGCGGCGCCCATTGAGATGCAAAGAATCAAAAACTGAAAATGTGGCGTCAATTTTGTGAGGGCCATATGTAGGTCTGCCTGAGTCTTGTTTGGAAACCACGTCTTCAACTAAAAGCGCTCTCATATAATAGAGTATAATAAAATTGTCTTGTAGAATCAGCATTTGAGTGGTTCGGTTCATTTTTCCATAGCAAGCTTGAGCCTTCAATTCCAAGATGATTTGAAACTCAAAGGGGTATCATTGTAGCATCTGTCACTTTGTCCTGGATCCTGGTGATAGATCGGCTCGTCCCCTTTCAGAAGAGATAGCCCAGAAGGGTCACAAAACCGAGTGGAAGCTGATTCGCCAAGTGCTATGCCGTGCTGCATTGATTTCTTTCTTCCCTCATCGCGGACCTGGTGAAGCACCTGGTCTCCGCATGGAGAAACCGCGCCAAGATGAAAAGGGTTCTGGCTCCAAAGCATAGGATCCTCGCTCCGACATTTACACGCAGGAGCTTTTCAGGATAGGCCTCAAAGCCAAGACCTCGTTGACGAAGTGAAAATCGATTGGCTGCGTGGCAAAAGAACTCACTTTGTGAAACCTCGGGTCGGAGCTCGGGATTTCTGTGGACGGCAGACATCGATCCCGACATTCACTCGGCTTTCTGGAGACAACGCGTAAGATGAAGGTTCACCGATTTCCCACAGAATGAAATTAATCATGCCCTCAAGGAAACACAATGCTTAGATTGGCAGTTGTCCGTCTTGCTGGATAAGAGCGCCACCCGCAACACTGTTTGGTCAGGTAAGGAGTTGATACACAATCACAGCCGAGTGACCACGTGTAGCTTACCTCAGCACCAAAGGACATCTCTGCTTGTCTGTTTTAGTATCCTATCATTGGCTCGAGTCTGCCAGAGCAATTCATAACAATGGTTATTGTACAGTACTTGCAGATCAGTTTGAAAAAGCGTCTTGTCTGCCGAGAAGCTTGTCATTGAGGGCTGCGACACCTGGTTGCTTTTTGTATCCGACTGCATCCCTTCAACAGCAAACTGAGTTCAGAAAACCGAACTGACACATGTTACAATGTTGCACCTATGCCAGACCAAAACAACCAAAACAAATCACTGATATCATTGCAACCCTCACCTGGAAGTTCCTTCCCCTCCAACAGCTCTAGGGAGGCACCACCACCAGTACTGCAGTGGGTGACCTCGGTACCCGGTGATCAGGATTGGATGTTGCATATGTTGTCCCTCCAAAACAAATCTTACAAAACACAAACCTTATATGTGCCATAGGTTGCTATGCTAATTCTCTGTGTGGTTGATTTTTGAACAGTGAACTCGGTACTGGGTGTGACCATTGTGGTCAAAACAAAACGGCAAGGAAGCCAAGCTGACTTGGAGAAGTTGGCTACAAGGTATCAGTTAGTGTAGCCATTGACCAAAAGCAAACAGGGCTGTAAAGTTTCAATAGCTAAAATATACACCAATGAAGTCCGAGAGCTCCATCCAAAATCCAATGTACTGATGTGCTGATAAGCGAAACTTGATTCCTGGTCCAACTTTGACACATGAAGCTCCGCAACTTGCGCTTCCAAGTTACCTTGTCCTCAGTGCCATACTTCTTGCAGGCAGTGGCGGTGTCACCACCGCCAATCACGGTGATGACACCCTTGCCAGTCGCCTCCACAACTGCATCCATCAGCTTCTTGGTGCCTCAAATGGCAGTCAAGCAGGGACTGCTGATCCTTACCCTCAAACCAATTCCGCAAGTGTGCCTATTGATTCATGAGATTCCCATAGATTCCGGGTCGGTGTTCCAAGAAATTGGGCCAAATTCCCATTTTTCTTCACTTTCACAGCTAAATTGATGCTGATTTGCCAGGCTCGAATTTGGCCATCTCGAACACTCCCATCGGGCCATTCCAGATGATAGTTTTGGATTCGGCCACAGCCTGCCATGGCCAGGCAAGGTGGTTGGTTTATTACGGACGACATGGCCGTGTCTGAGAATGGAAAAAATTGAACCCCTTCGGATTGCCCTGAAATAATAGCTGAAATTGATGATCCACACAGATTCACCAAGATTCACCAGTAGATTTTGGTGTTTTTCCCCTCACTTTGAGATACCAAAACGACATTTACCACTTTAGCCTTGGCGTTCAACTCCACCGAGGCTGGTCCGCAGTCCAGTCCCATGAAGCCCTCAGGGACGCCATCTGCCTTGGTGACGCCTCCCAGCGCGGGTCTCATCATTGCTTCAACTCCAAGGTTCATCCATGAAAACAATCCATCCCAAAGTTCAACTAGACGACGGATGGCCCGAGAGCGTAGAGGAGCAGGGTCTTCTCATGTTAGTATGGAGACACCATATTACAAAACAATATATTAAAGATGTGTTATAGGCAGACGAGAAGAGGAGTATCAAGACAATATAGCACAAGTACAAGACAATAGTTTGCATCGTACAGTATCTTTCAAATAGTTTTTCACACATAGAACTTTTTACAGAGAGACGCTTTTACACACAGATGCTTTTAGACACAGACACTTTTACATACGGAAGCTTTTGCGCACAGACATTTTTACACACGGAAACTTTTACACACAGACGTTTTTACACACATAGGCTTTTAGACACAGACTCCTTTACACACAGACGCTTTACACGCAGACGCTTTACACGCAGACACTTTTACACGCAAACACTTTTACATACAGACGCTTTTACACACAGAAGCTTTTACACAGACACTTTTACACACAAATGTTTTTACACACAGAAGTTTTTACACACAGAAGCTTTTACACACAGACGCTTTTACACACAGGCACTTTTACACACAGACACTTTTACACACAGGCGCCTTTACACACAGACAGTTTTACACACAGACGCTTTTACACACAGAAGCTTTTACACAAACGCTTTTACACACAAAAGCTTTTACCCACAGAAGTTTTTACACACAGAAGCTTTTACACACAGACGCTTTTACACACAGAAGCTTTTACACACAGACACTTTTACACTCAGACCCTTTTACACACAGGAGCTTTTACACACAGAAGCTTTTACACGCAGGAGCTTTTACACACAGAAGCTTTTACACGCAGACGCTTTTACACACAGAAGCTTTTACACACAGACGCTTTTACAACACAGAAGCTTTTACACACAGACGCTTTTACACACAGACACTTTTACACACAAACACTTTTACACACAGACGCTTTTACACACAGACGCTTTTACACACAGAAGAAGATGATGATGATGATGATGATGATGACGATGATTGTGATGATGATGTAGGTGATGATGATGATGATGATGATGGTACTGATCATGATGGTGATAATGATGGTGGTGGGGGTGGTGGTGGTGATGACCTTGGTGATGGTGATGATGATGATGCTGCTGATGATGCTGATGATGCTGATGATGCTGATGATGCTGATGATGCTGATGATGCTGATGGTAAGAAATGGTGAAAAACGAAGACATGGGAAAAATGCATGATCATGGTGAAGATTTTGGCGATGCTTGCGATGAAAATAACCATGATGATGATGTTGATGATGATGACGATGCTGCTGATAATGGCAATGGTGATGGTGGTCAATGGCGAGTGTAATGATGACCATGGTGATGAAAATGATGATGTTGTTGATGATGATGATGATGATGACGACAACGCTGTTGGTGATGGTGATGGTACAGTAATGATGATGGTGGTGATGATGATGATGGTGATGAGGACGGCGATGATGTAGATGATGATAATGATGATGATGATGATGAGGAGGACGATGATGATGATGATGTGGCTGTGATGATGATGGTGATGATGGTGATGATGATGATGATGATGGTGATGCTGGTGGTGGTGGTGGTGGCGGCGGCGGCGGTGGTTGTGAGTTTTGTTCTAATTTGGGGTGTGATGTTGGTTGTGATTCTGGTTGTGATGGTGGTGATGATGATGATGATGGTGATGATGATGATGATAATGGGGATGATGATGATGATGATGGTGATGATGATGGTGGTGGTGGTAGTGGTGGTGGTGGTTGTGGTGGTGGTGGTGATGTTGTTGGTGGTGGTGGTGATGATGTTGGTGATGATGATGGTGATGGTGGTGGTGATGATCCACCGCATACATGGGTCCTTTGCAGTCTTGGAGTTTCTGAAGCAAGCTAGCAGATTTATGTGTGCATTTTCACTTTTCCATAGGTGTTTTGAACCTTGTAAACTACCAAAAAATTAGAAAGCGGGGACTGTGGGAGTGCCTTTTTTTCATGCTTCAAGATCTCATCTATCTGCCAGCGATGCTGCTGCAAGATCTCATCTATATGCATACCTCAAAATTTCATCCAGCTGGGGTCACAAGAAACAACACATAATGCACATTCACAGCGGGAAGCTAAATAAGGCTATCAACCATTCTATGCCATTGCTACTGGCTACCCCTTGTGGATGGACAAGATCACACCCCTCATCTCAGATGCCCTTCGATACATCCATAAATACACATATATAGATACTTATCTATATATTAGGTATGTATTGTGGAAGAACTGTTGGCTTCAAGTCTTGTGTGTATACGGTAAATATCCAAGTTTGCACATTAGGCAACAAGAAACTACAAGGACCTGAAAGCAAACCCGCCAAACAGCTGAGACAGAGAGGGCAACATTCCTTTGAGAAAGTGTTGCATGACACTGAAGCAAGACCATTCCTTTAGAAAAAGTGCGTTTTGTCTTCCATGTAGTTGGATGAAAATATGTGATTCCTTCCATAGAGGTAGTAGTCCTTTTAAATAAGATAGCATTTCTTTAAGATATAGTTTGAATATACATTAGTGTCGTTCAAAAGTGCAGCATTCCTTTAAGACAGCACTTGATGGCTTCATGAAATATTGACTTGAACCATGGTGTTATGCAATATTCCTTCGAAAAGAAAATTTATTTGGGAAATACAACATCATTTTCAGATAACATAGTTCACTGTATGATATCACTAAATTAAATTATTTCAGCGGCACCATTTTCAATGTGCAGCCCGCGCAGGTAATATTAAGATTGGGTGCAACTGCTAAATAGCAGGACCCCAGGAACAACCGACTTCGCAGCTGCTCCTGTCTACCTTGCCCACAGGCAGAAAAGGTTGCCCGCAGGCAAACGCACCGCCACGGCGGGATTGCACCCAAGGCCCATAAAGAGGTGGGACAAGGGTGGGAGCACAGAAAACTACGAGCAAGGATGGATAGAAACCAACGTCTAGCAACACTACGTTAAGCAAGGACTGGTTTTATTCAATCCATCTGGAACAGCTCAGCAGCATCATTTTCAATGTGCAGCCGTGCAGTGCAACTGCTAAATAGCAGGACCCCAGGAACAACCGACTTCGCAGCTGCTCCTGTCTACCTTGCCCACAGGCAGAAAAGGTTGCCCGCAGGCAAACGCACCGCCACGGCGGGATTGCACCCAAGGCCCATAAAGAGGTGGGACAAGGGTGGGAGCACAGAAAACTACGAGCAAGGATGGATAGAAACCAACGTCTAGCAACACTACGTTAAGCAAGGACTGGTTTTATTCAATCCATCTGGAACAGCTCAGCAGCATCATTTTCAATGTGCAGCCGTGCAGGTGCAACTGCTAAATAGCAGGACCCCAGGAACAACCGACTTCGCAGCTGCTCCTGTCTACCTTGCCCACAGGCAGAAAAGGTCTTGCCCGCAGGCAAATGCACCGCCACGGCAGGATTGCACCCAAGGCCCACTCCCAATCGCACCCATTCGATGCGTTTGGCGAAGCTACCCGAAAAAAAGACCAGGTAGAGCCAGAGTGCTGCAGGAGGTGGGCAATGGGAGGGGGAAAAGAAAGTTTTGCCAAAATGGCCCTAGCATCATCCAAATAAATCCGAGATGTTTTGACGTCACGCCATCGCCCTTGGACAGTGACATAGTGAAGATCCCGGGTTTGGGTGTAAGCATGGGTCGCTGCGGATGCTATAAAGCGAAAAACCCGTCTTGGAGACCCAAATGTTCCACCAGGCAAGTGAAACATTTGCGAAAATCCCTGGCTGAGGCAGCCCAAAGACGCTGCCGGCCAGACAATCGTGGAAGGGCATGGCTAAGGATGCGGGCCAGAGTCCTGTGCCGCAGCAACAAAGATTGCTGATACTGCTCTGACGTCTTGGCACGATCAAGAGAGACAACAATTTGAGAGGTCGCCAGATCCACCACCACATTGGCAACCGGCAAGGTGACAAACTCCATGGTACGCAAAAAGTAGCAAAAACCAACCAAGATGAGAACAGCAACATCATGATGCCCAGCCCGCCAAGCCAAACCAACCATCGCCTTAGCGACAATCCAGGGTATTGGAACTGCACGAAAAGGATGTGGTCCCTTAACCAATTGTTGTAGTATGCTGAGCAGTTGGCAGCTTGAATTTGAGCCGGGGTAGGAACCGTTTGAACCCACTGAGCGGCCACCCACCTTCGTGATAAAGTGCATTGATGAATTCTGCGAGCTGGTAGTCGAGCTCAGCCACATCGTCAGGCAGCGCAACGCCTTCAGAACTCAGAAACTGGAAGAAGCGGCGTATTTCCTTTTTGTAGGCTCTGGCAGTCTTCGGTGTGATTCCCTTAAACTTCAGGTGTTGTCTTGCTCGAGGCATCATCACTCAAAGCGGCGAGAGGCCGCATCTGCAAAGTTCCACTTCCTGAAAGTCCACAGGAATATCACCACCAACTTGCTTGCCAGATTGAGAGCGATAATTCGCCGCAAAGGGCGGTTGAGCCGCTTGCTTCCAGATCTTCCCTTTGTAATGCGAAGTAGGTGACCAAGCGGTCCACGATGTTCATGATCCTCTTGTTGATCATGTTTGGGCCCCGAAGACGCCGACGGAACTCCGTCAAGACAGCTGTCACCTCCAGCACATTGATGTGCTGCTCCGCACTCCACTTGTAACTCAAGACCGTCCTCCACAACCACCGAAATGCGGGGTAAGGATGGACAAACTTCCCTTGTGATTTGCTCATCTGGGACTGTGATCCTGACGTCACTACCCCTCAGCCCCACATTGCGAAGGAGCCATCGGAGGTGTGCTGCTTCACCTCCCTCGGTCATGCCCTGCAGGGCGTGGCAGACAGCGTTCACCACGCGGCGAACATGCCCCTCATCCTGCATGCCTTTCGTGGCCCCATGCACCTGAGAGTAGATCAGGGACTCCAGTGTCAGAGGGTACTCCTCCGCAGGGGCTGGGGTAATTTGGCGCAAGTGAGCGGCCAAAGCACCCGCATACGTGATGCAGAATCCCCAGGGATATTCTGACTCCATGGCCGTATCGAAGCTGAGCTGACCTTCACGCATCCAGCTGGTGTTGTGACCCCTCAGGTTTGGGTGACCAGGGCAGTCAGGCCGGTGCAGACATAGCTGTTGTAGGGATGCTCAAGTGATGCTATCCCTCCGGGCATGTGTGGGTTCATCAGCCCTTTCAACGCTCTCCTCATGTAGGAATTGCCTTGGCGTACAGCCACAGTATCAATCCGTACAAGTTCTTCGAACCCCCATGGTTCATCATCACTTCGAACTTGTCACGGACCCTGGATCCACGATCCGTCTGGCAGCTGGATCAAACGGCCTCTGGCCCGCGAGAATGTCCTGCATTCCGGGGCCCAATGCGCTGACTTGAGCGAAGGGTCCAACTCGGCCGCAGCCAGCCTTTCCTTCCCCTCGTCAATCAGATCGCAATTCCGGCCAGGCCGCAGGCTTTTGTCAAGGGGTACCGTGATCACAAACCTGGGGGAAAAGAACTCACCTCGGACGCATCCGCTTTCACAGTGGTCTGCCAGGCACACAGCTGAGGAACCTCTCGCCACAGCGCCTTGAGCAAATGTACACCTGTCTCTCCGGGTTCATGTCCCTGAAGTCCGTGCCGCAGCACCCGCATGAATCCTTCTGATCCAGCTCCTCCGGCACAACCAAGCTCCACTGCTGATCCTCCTCCTGTGGGTGAAGCATCGGTGCAAGAGATGGTCTCGGAGACATCTGCTCGCAGTTCACTTTGGGCCTGCACGGATAGTCCCATGAAGCGCAGGACCTCATCAATTACACCAGACTTGGCCCTGCTGCTTGCACTTCTCTAGCAGTTCAAAGATCTCCTGCAAAATTGAAAATAGTGGTCGCCGAAACGTCGCGATGAAAGCGGCCTTCCCAATCCAGTGCCTCATCTGGAATTCGGTCACCCGAGACTGTGCCAGGAGGGCCAAGCTGATCGCCTGGACTTGAACGTCCCCAGGCTGACGTTCAGCTCACCGCCTTGGATGCCCCCACACATAGCTCCAATCAGCTGCTTGGCTGCATTCCGCCGCAAGCCGACCTCATCGCAAACCTGATTGAAGCGCGCATGAGTCTCAGTGGGCTCACCTCTCTCAGCAGCCATGCTGTCACTGAACCTCTTGATGATTCGTATCTCGTCGAAGTTGTCCAAGTACACCACCGTCAGATGGTCTCCCTCCGGAATAGGCAGTGCTTTCTCCCAGGACGTAGTGCGGGCACCATCACCAAGTCAGCCTGGACCAGTGTGACCGCCGACTTCCAGCCCATGGGCACCACGGTCAGAGCCGGGCGCACTTTGCCCAGATCTGGACGGCCAAACGCACTTCCTGGAGTACGCACAGCAGGGGGACCATTCAGGGGGCAGAAGGCACTTTCCAAGTCCTCAGACTCCACGAAGAGCTCCTCAGCCGGCGACAAGTACAACGCCGTCAGCTGCCCAACATAAGGCAGGGTATCTTGAGCCCCTGGGAGGTCGATGCCCAGCCTTGTCACGTGGCACGTCTGCGTCATTCACCATGCAGAACATCCCTCGCACATAGCCTTCTTTGCAAATCTTGAGCCATTCCTTATCGCTGGCCCTGACCAGATATCTTTTTGACGAAGGGGGCTGTCAAGAGGAAGGAGCCAGCGTTTTGGGTCCCTCATTGCTTCCTTTCCCCTCATCATCAAGGAAGTCTGTGATGCATCTCACTCCAGCCTCACCTCGGAAGTGGGAAAGACCTTCTCAGCCACCAGGTCTTCCATGTACTCCACCGGGTTGCCAGAGTAATCGTGACGCTTGCTCTGAAGCGCCTCACAGGCTCTTCCCGTTGTTGGCAACTGAGCGGCACTCAGGATATTGTCATTGACAGTGCGTGCCATCTCCTGGATAGACAGCTTCTGATTTTCGCTCAACTGGCAGTCCATGGGGACACAAATTGGCTTTGTCCACCCTGTGCAATAATTGAAGCTAAGCAGGGTGACCGTCAACTTCAGCCAATCCACATTTTGCTCGGTCACCCCCTTGCTCACCCCTCCTTGGGTATGTGGCCTCGGTGGCCGGTGGCGGCTGCACATGGCTGCAATGGGTCCTCACGAACCTTCCCAGAGGGGTGTCCAACTCAATCAAGCTTTCAAGAAGATGCCGCCCAAAGTCAGCGTAGGTGACCCGCTGTTTCTTGAAGAAGTCCCCAAGCCACCCATTCAAGGGCAGAGGTCCGCCGCTTGCCCCTCTGAGCCTGCCCCGCAGGGCACTTGCGAGCACATCCTCATAGGCCTCAGCCTCATCACCAACCTCGACATCACTGCCGACGATGTCCTCCTTGCCTCTTCGGCCCTTCTTGCCCTTGCCTTTCCGAGCTCCATCTCCTTTTCCTTTGCCCACGGGTTGCGATGTCGGCCTCGGCTTCACTTGTTGCAGCCTTTTCTGCTCGAGCGCCTGCCGGACCCCCCCCCGCAAAAACCCTCATCAGCTGATGCGGATAAGGAGTCATCACTGTTCTCCTTCTCAAAGCTTATGGCCTTTCCAACTCCATATGGTCCGCGGTCTCTTTCCATACGGGACTTCCGCCTCTTGGCGTCCTTCTCATCATTGGCCCGCCTCGGGCTGTCAGATGGCTCTCGCCTCTTTTTCTTCCTACGTTCTTTCTCATCCGCGGATGAACTGCTGCGGGCTGCTGGCCGTAACCTGACCCTCTCTCTCGAAGTTGATTTCCTCCTCCTTTTCTTCTCAATTGATCCTGAGCTGGATCTCTTCTTGGCCTTCTTGGCATTGTCTCCTCTCACCACAACCTCCCTTCGCCGCGGCGAGCGGGGCATAGCACCTTTCTTCCTCCGCAGTGGCTCTCGTGAAACCTCTCGCTTCAGCCGGGCCAGATTTTCTCCAACGGCCCTCTCCTTTGCAGCTTGGCTGTCCCGACCATCATCATCATCCTCTGGCAAGTCCTCGTTGAAGCTGATTGCCTCATCATCGCACACAGCTTGCTTGCCACGCCTGGCCTTAAAGGCCTCAAAATCAGCCTTCGCCACACCGGTCTGCCACCAGAGCCACAGCCGGTTTCGGAAGTCGTTCACCTCCAGCAAGCGCACGACGTCAGTGTGGAAGGCAAAGGTGTCCTCCGAGTCCACCGCCTTGCAGGATCCAACCGGCGCACTGCCAATGTGCACAAAGAACTCGCGTCTCTGCGTTGATCCTTCACCTTTGGTGATTTTATCAGTGCAGGCGCTCGTCCTCCACTGCTGTGAGAGTGGCCGACACCCAGCGTCCATGTCGCTTCTCGCCCACGGTGATCACCTCCCACAAGGCCTTGCGCTGGTCTCCCAGGCTCGCATCCTACCTGACATTCGAACAGGTCTCCAGCACCCCAGGCCCTGTCGCCAAGGAAGTTGGGGTTGTCCTTGGCCCCAATCCATGGCCCCGGCATGACTCTACAGGCCTCGGCCTGGGTGCCTACCTGGCCCGCAAACCTACAAGCTTGAGCACAGAAAACTACGAGCAAGGATGGATAGAAACCAACGTCTAGCAACACTACGTTAAGCAAGGACTGGTTGTAATATATATATATATGTATACACAATATTTCTTTCAAAAGTATGTAGCATTCCTTGAGAAAGTAGCCTTCAAGACACACAGCAGTCCTTGCGAAAGAGTATTGCTGAGTATGGTATTATTTAAGTTCTTGTACAAAAGGGAACCCTTTGAAAGAGGGGGTTTTCTGTAAGAAAGCGCAAAGCATGGAATTGTCCTTTGAAAAAGTACAGTTTCCTTGTAGAAAGTATAGCATTATCTTGAAAGGGTATTCTTCAATAAGCCGTTGCACTTTAAGACACCATGGTATTCCTTGAGGACAGTGCAGCATGCCTTTGTGCAAGTTTCCTTGAAAAGGGTGCAATATATGTGTTCATTCCTTTGAAAAGACGGTGGTATTCCTTGCTCAGAAGAAAACTACGCAAACAGAGCCACCACCTCCAGAAAATAGAAAATAAGGCATTCCTCTTTTAAGAAAGTGAAAAATAATGCTTCCCCCCCTCCCAGAAAAAAAAAACGAAAAAACTAGACTTTTTAGTTCAGAGAGGTCCCTCTTAAGAGTCTAATTTTCTTTTTGACGATTGGTTCCTGCATGCCGACATCCGGAGGAAGAAATTTGATCTCAGGGAAGAGCCAGAAGTGAAATTGATGAAAACATCGAGAAAACCAAAAAAAACTAACCCTATGTCTCAACCCACCATGGACCTCCATTGAGTTGTTTTTTTTGATTTTTTTTTGTTGTTTCTTTTGTTTTTTAATGTTTTGTATAGTGATTTGGATGCCAAAGCAGAAGAGCAAAGTGCAGACAGCATTGAAGAAATTGAGTGTGTTTAATGGTTTTGCCAAGGAAGAGAATGCTTTGTCCAAAGTAGCGTATTTAGCGCACTCCCCTGATCCCCTGTTCTTCAAAATTACAGAATCCAATCGGAACTCTTCCACGGGCTCGCTTTGCCCAAGCCTTCTTTAATCTCGCCATCTTCTCCGAACTTGGAAGAGCAGGTGAAATCCACTGGCAGGATGATCTCAACACCTGGGCTGGACTTGTGGATCCTGGATATCTGATCATAGACTTTGAACAAAAAATGGGACAAGATGGCAAAAAAATATTGATTATTGATTCAATTAAAAAAAACTGGAGCACCGATCAATCTCTATCAAAAAAATTGACCCAAACGAGGCACCCAACTTCTCAGCCTTCGCCAAGATCTCGGGCACAATCTTCGCACCTTCCTCGTCATAGAGGGAGCTGCCAATGGGCATGTTGTCCTGCCATCAGCACCAAAGGCCAAAGGGCTGAGGTGATTTTTGTTTAACTCTTTTGCAACTCAACAAGTCGTGATACAGTGATACAGAGTGCCATTTTGTTTGCCTTTATCATACAGATTTGGATTTTTTGTTGGCTCAGCAGCTTGCGCTGTGTCAGAAAAAACTTTACACCACTTGTATGGGTTGGTTGTTTTTAGATAGAAAACACCCAAAAGAGTCTTCTCTGAACCGCACAAAAAAGGTCGTTCTTGTTTCAGGTTTTAAAGAACTGGAAAACCTATTCCTATTCCGACTGCGAACAAAAGGCTGATCCAAGACAGCCTTGATCTTCAAGAAAGTGTAGGCCATTCCGCCGCCAATGATCATCTTGTTCACCTCAACAATTTTGGCTCAGTGTCGCTAACATTAGACAACAGACTCTGACACTGAAAATTCTCCAGAAAGCTGAACCGGCATAATTCTGGCACAGTCAACAAAACAGACAGTTGCTCCGAATCCGTTTTTTTAGTTTTTTTTTGGCTAAGGGGTGCCTTGTCCAACATGTTCATGATCAGCTGGATCTTGTCGCTCACCTTGGCACCTCGGCCACAAAATCACAAAACTCTGGCGTTTTGCTAGTCCATATGCCGCCGAAGGGTATTGACTTGAAAATACCAGGAAAGAAACATCAATTTGTTGACGCCCCTCGCGCGCAAAAACATTTTTGGACGTTTCTTTCACTTTTTGACGGAAATTAATATCAGACATGTGGGTCTGAAAATACTGTGCCCTAAAATTTTTATAGCTGATCACCGTTTTCTCCATGCAAAAATTGCGGGGAAAAATCTCCCATTTCCAGACACACCCTCTTGGATATTGTTGCTTGCATTCCCATGTTGTCCAAGTTAGGTCCCCATTTCCCATTAAATGCCCATTAAGCCCCCGTTTAATCCATATGAAATCAACATTTTTCCGGTTCAATCCCCATTTTTCAGGCAAAATCACAGGTTCCCTGCACCTCCCAGGATGGCTAGCACCGGCTTGGCCGGGCTGTCCAGCACCTTGGCAAAGGCCTCCAACTCCTCGCCATGGTGAGACCCAGTGATTACGACTTATTGCACACATATGTTTAAATAATATTTTGTTTAATGTAAACGATACAAATATTAAGGAATACTGCTCAATATGAGTTGCAATCATCTAAAATGATTTGCTCTGCTATCAATATGCAATAGGGGTTAATTGTGTGCACAATTGCGCACACTTTTGAGCACGAAAAAAACAATTAGAAGTTGTCATGGTGCACAGATATAAACTGATACTACACTGCATCTGTACGATCTTGGAACCTTCATGCGCTCCCCCCATGGCTTCGGCCATTCCAATGAAGGGGAAAAAAACCAGGCCCAAGCCTCTTATTTACATGACTCATCTTCGTGAGTGTGCCATTTCCAAAATTCAGATGCCTATCACGCCATTCCAGCGGTGTAGAGTGTAGACCCACCTCCTCTGCGATGCTGGGAATTTGGCCATCCAGCACAACTTGAAAAATCGCGGTGCAAAGGTTGGCACCTTGCCCTAGAGACATAAAAACGTGTCTCACAAATCATTGCGTCTAAAGACCGACACCAAAAATGTCCGGTTCTCACTCTCACATGTCAAAATGATCATGTAGATTGTGTTATATTTCACAATTCAGGGGCGGGTGCTTGTTCTTGTCAGCATCCAGATCAATCGAGACTTGTTATTGACTGTGCCGATTCCCTCCGACTGATGAAAAAGGAGGCGGAGCAGAATGCAACACTGGATCGAACGTTTTTGGTAGTGCACCAAACAATTCAGATTGCAGGGTTTTCCTATAAGTTTTCAAGGTATTCCAGATCTGAATGCCTGAGTTGAGCATTTGATTTTGACAATAAGGAAAATTAGTTGTGTTGTTGACATGTGTTGTTCAGCGTATTCTGGGCTTATTCTCCAATACTACCAAAATATAACCCTTTTTTCAAATATACCGCCCTGAATTATGAAATTTAGCAGTAGATTGTAGATGAGTTCACAGAGACCTCTTCTGGGGATGAGATCTCCATCACCTCTGCAGCTTGATCACCAGCATGGTGATGGCTGCTTGATGCCCGTTCTTCACTTCCAGCGAGCATGATCGCAGTAGATCCATCAGGACGCAGCACCGTCCGAAGCCCCATCGCCGATGCCTCAGGAAGTGCTCCAGTCATCCGCAGCATGTAGGCCTTGCTGCCACGGGTGCCACGGGTGCCACGGGTGCTGGATCTCCACTTGATGGCCTCATCGCAGGCCTCAAGCCCACCTCATTTGGGATCATCATCAAAGCTGGGATCCCTTCTGCACCACCCATCACCTGTGGCCGCGGCGACTAGTACTGCTCCTTGTTGTGGATTTTGTTGGTGGCCTTGTGATTGAAGTCTGCCACACTGTTGTTCTGTACCATGAGGTCGTACGTCTTGAGGTCGTGGTGGCGGTGGTCTGGGAACTTGACTTGTTAGTCCCGGCCAGTCGAAGGTGCGCGCCGAACCTCTGCTGGCCGCAGTTGGTCTGTCTCCTGACCCACTTGCAGCTTCAGCAGCCACCGCCACTGCATCGACTGCTGACGCCGAACCCAGGCTCTGTCCACAGCCGCTGTGGATGATCCTCCTGAACTGGCCTCCAAAGCTGCTTCTGACGTCCTGATCCCAGCCGCTGCTTTGCCCACCGCTCTCGCGTACTGGATCTCGTCCTCCCCCTTGCCACTCCGGGTCATCCGATGATCCCTCTTCGGAATCCTCTTCCTCCTCCACATTGACGTCCACCTGGTCATGATAGCCTCTATCGCGACGCCTCCATCTCCACTCCCTCCAAGCGGTGCCATCTCCACGTTGGATCGACCTAGGCCTTGGGGTGGCCTCGCAATCTGTGATGAGCTCCTGCGGCCTCGTGTCAGCTGCCAGCACTTCCTGTTCAAGATTCTTGTCACCAGATACCCATACATTGGTGTTCATGGGCAGAGCATCCATCCATGGTGCCTGCATTGCCGCAGCTCCCCTTCGTCGTTGTTGCCAACTTCCAAGCTTCGAAGCATCTTCGTTTTCTCCATCTCTGCAGCCTCCAGCTCTTGAACGAACTTCATTCCAACTTCTGCAGACACACAAGGGCAATTGTCACGCACCATCACCTGAAGTTCACCCAGCTTCCCATGCCTGAGTGCACATCCATCACGGCAATCTCATCTTGCACCCATGCTGTGTCAACATTCCCAGCGGCACAATTGGCTGCAGATCATCCTTCATCGCCTTTGATGCTGTTTTGTGCCATTCGAAGCTGTGTCTTGCCAGTTGCCGTTCGCACTTCCGTCGGCGCTGCACTTTGCCACTCCCCCTTGTCATGATAAGGATGACGAAGCATGTGCGTAGCGCCAGAATCTAAAAGGATCCCATTGTAACTGTGGTTGTTCACCATCTCGGTAGCTGCCAAAACTCTCGGAGTTGTGGTCCGCATAGGCTTGAGCAAGTTGGCAACTTCACCCGAAACACCATCTCCTGTTGAACCGGTCGCTGCCGCTTGTTGCGAAACTTGTTGAGCAGCTGCAGTCGGCGCGACATTGGCAGTTGCTGCCGCTGTTGCTGTCGTTGAAGCATCAAGTTGTTAAACATGAGGTTCAGGGTTGACTTCCCTTTGCCTTTTGGGCTTCCTTTGGAGCTCTTTCCTCCAGGGCTTGGCACGCTCTTATTCCAATCATGCTTGCGGGTGCACTTGTTTCCTTTGAGAAATCCATTTGTTGTGCCCCGCTGTTTGCATGGGCTACTCTGAGTGCCCGTACCATCTTGTCCTTGGGAAGCTGTTGCGTTCTTGCCTTGTCCGTTCTTGCCCTTCTCAGCGCCCAGCGCCCGCACCTTGGGACTCCACTGCAGGTGCTGTCGTCGTCTTGGAAGTAGAGCTCTGGTGATCAGCTTCGGCAATCAGGAGTTGCAAGTAGGACTGCGACGCCACGTCCACCTGATTGCCCATTCGAAACGCATTGACACGAAACAGTGCCTGTTGATCCTTACTCAAGACAATCTTCATCATCTCCGTCAGCGATCCAACCAACAACAGTCTTGAAGCTTCAGTTCTTGTGATCGAAGCAACTGTCTCATCTCTGCCACTGTCGTAGCGCTTCTGATGCTTCAATCGGCGTCTTTGCCGGGACCACCTTCGTCAAGCTTGTAAAGAGACTGTGGCCTTTTCGGTCAATCCCCTGGTTGGAACTGCTTGAAGACCTTGTAGACCAACTGGACACATGTCAATTCCCTTGTAAAAATTGCCTCCTGCTTCATCGCAATGGGAACTGAAGACAACAGCATCGTCACACCCTTGCCTCCAGTCTCTTCTATCTGGGTTCCACGGCAGTGTTCGGTTGCACACTCATCTTGTCCGTTGTGAGAGGAAGCAACGTCAACAGCGGATTCCTGATTGATCCCATCCATGTTGGTAGCTAGAAATGGTTCCAACGCAACAAGGGGCAACGTGGCACCCAACAGAAAAGCTGTCAGAGCCGTTGTTGAAGACCACAAGGAAATGCGTGGTGGCGTAGCAAACTGAATGGCTCTAGCTCCCACGGCAGTGGACATACGAAAAGCAGTCAGGTATTGAAATTTGGGGCTCACTTGAGCCTAGATGAATACTGGACATCCAAAGCTTTCAATGCTGTTTTCCATGATATACACACGACAAACTCGAGCCTGCCGCTCAGCGAAAAACATTGCATCGACACGTTGAGCTGCGTCAAATATATATATATATATATATGCAGTAAACAATAGAATTAGAATAGAATTAGAATAGAATTAGAATAGAATTAGAATAGAATTAGAATAGAATTAGAATAGAATTAGAATAGAATAGAATAGAATAGAATCAGAATTAGAATTAGAATTAGAATAGAATTAAAATAGAATAGAATAGAACAGAACAGAATGAGAATAGAATTAGAATAAAATAGAATTGACTTAGAATAGAATAGAGTAGAGTAGATAACAGTAGAATAGAATAGAACAGAACCGAATAGAACCGAATCAAATCGAATCGAATACAACACAATAGAATAGAATAGAATAGAATAGAATAGAATAGAATAGGATAGGATAGGATAGAATAGAATAGGATAGAATAGGATAGAGTAGAATAGAATAGCATAGCATAGCATAGAACAGAATAGAATAGAATAAATTAGAGTAGAATAGAATAGAACAGAATAGAATAGAATACAGAAGAGAAAAGCATTTTCAAAGAATAGAACAGAAGAGAAGAGAATAGAATAGAATCGAAAAAGTAAAATAGATATTGTATGCCTACCTCTTTATAAACATATTATATCTATATATTTATATATACATATATATATATGTTTTTATTTATTTATTTATCCATCCACCTACGTATATTTCATAATGTCTAATATTTTGAGCCAATCTCGTAAAATCGCAGGTACTTGGAGACGCATGGCAGTTTGCAAGTAGTTCATCCAATCACCTCCACAATGATTCCCCTGTTTTTGAGGCTTCAAAATGAACAGATCCACATCTAAACCGCGGCTGCTGGTGTGCTCAAACTGGACTTTTCATGACTTATCTGACTTTTCCCATTCATCACTGGGGAAACTCACCATCGTTACTGGATGCACATCGTGGGGTCCCTGGCTCCTTGCCCATCAGGTCGCCAGAACATTTCACCTCGAAGCCATCACCAACCATGGAACTGTGGGCACGGTGAGCAGTGCCAAAGGCATCGTTGCAGTAGATGTCGGCCAATTTCCTGAAGAACTGAAGTTGGCAAAGTGATGGAGGCCTCATGATTTCCACCATGCGAAGCCATGCAATATCGATATATAATATCGTGTTACGTGCGCTATCGTCTGAACATCTTGGTCCTTAGATCTTTACAATGCGATAATTCTTCTTCGAGCATCACTTTTTTTCTAGATTTTCCATGATCTACGCGCCAAAATGTGATCTTCATCCCAAAAACGGCGCACAGCGCACCTTATTAAAAAAGAAAAAATCTTGTGGCGTGGGCAGCTGTGCTTTGAACGAAATCGACGCAAGATCTTTATTGAGACATCGCGCGCGCTGATGGTATCAGGGGCCACAAGTCACCACAGCATGCTGCGTCAGTTACATCTACATTCTTGTATACTCGCTATTCCTGCTAACATTATCCCATCTTTCTAGTCGCTATTTATGCCTGGGTTCTCGTTTAGTTTGCGTCGCTGCAAAGGGAGCAAGGACGAAGCATGGACGGACAGAACACCGTGCGAGACGAAAACTAAACGACAGTGTGGCACGAAAGAAGAGCAGGAGGGAGTTAACCAAAAGAGTATGAAAACGAAGATACCAGTAGTACCGCACAAGGCGGTGGCGGAAGTTTCAAAAATAGGAAACCTATAGGAGAGACTGGTTGTTGTGAATCATTGATGGCAGAGCGAAGCCACTGATGGATCGAAAGGTGATTGATGTCTCCCATTTTTCTCTCTCTTTTTCTCTCTCTCTCTCTGATTATCTACCTACCTACCTACCTACCGATCTATCTATCTTTCTATCTATTCATCCATCCATCCATCCATCCATTTTATCATTCTATCTATCTATCTATCTACCTACCTACCTACCTACCTATCTATCTATCTATCTATCCGTCCATCCATCCACCCATCCATCCATCCATCCATTCTATCATTTTATCATTTTACCTATCTATCTATCTATCTTTCTTTCTTTCTATCTATCTATGTAGCTATCGCTCTATCTACCTATCTTATCTGTCTATCTAACTGTGTGTCTAGGGATCTACCTATCTACCTATCTACCTATCTACCTATCTACCTAATCATCTAATCATATCTATCTATCTGTCTTTCTGTCTGTCTATCTATCTATCTATCTATCTATTCGATTCGATTCGATTCTATTCTATTCTATTCTATCCTATCCTATCTATCTATCCATCCATCCACCCATCCATCCATCCATTCTAACATTCTATCTATCTATCTATCTATCCATCCATCCATCCATCCACCTATCTATCTATCTATCTCTCGGTCTGTCTGTCTGTCTGTCTATCTATCTACCTGTCTATCTGCAAGCTTGAAAACCTGGCTATTCTACGAGACTTCTTCATTTTTCCAAGTTGACAACATCAAAAACGAAGCAATTCTGAGAGACCTCCTCACTTTTTGAACTTGACGACATCAAAAACGAAGCAATTCCGCGAGATTTCCTCAATTTTTGAACTTAACAACGTGAAAAACGAAGCAATTCTGCGAGACTTCCTTCAAAAATGAAAAGTTGACTGCAGAGCTGACGGCCTCGTGCCAATGAGTTTTGCGATTTTTCCAGTCCATGTGTCTAAACTATTGTGCTTGCCACGAAAAAGTGATGCCAGGTCGTACGAAGCGCTGCGCCTGTCATGCGAAATCATCTCAGCAAACCTGAAGATCTGAGGCTCCAAACTTCAACCCCTCTCAGGAAATCAGCGCTCTGACCTCCGAACAGCTCCGATGAACATGTCTCTTGTACTGCGCCTGCCACGGAAAATGCATCTTTGCAGGTCCTCTTCAAATGTCCCACTCCTGCCATCCTTTTTGGAAATGCTACAAAACCCTCACGTTTTGCTCACTTTTGAGAAGGTGCACAATCCCTTGCGCCTGCCACGCAAAACGAGCTCTGAACGTCCAAAAGTGGTCCGTACGTGGTGTGCTTTGTGCTTCGCGCCACAACGGCGTGCACTTTTTGGACATCGCAACTTCTAAAAATTGGTCCGAACCCCTGGTGTTTTTAACATGTTGACTTTGAAATGTGCTTCGCGCCGCAACGGCGTGCACTTTTCAACATCTCAACTTCCAAAAGTGTTCCGACCCTGGTGTGTTTTGTACATTTTGACTTGGAAATATGCTTCGCGCCACAACGCCGTGCAATTTTTCATCTCTCATCTGGCCAGATGGCTCCGCACCCGCCGCTTTAGCGAGCCTACGTTTTGACCCTCCGGAGCCACA